TTTCTTCTAATAGTTGCACTTAAGGACAGTATAATGATGTAGTAATATTATTTTACTTTGAAAGTACAATGAATATATTTTGCAACATGMTTATACTTTTTACAGTAACTCTATTTGTATTGCAAAGTAAGCCAATTTAGCCACCTCCTTATAAAGCACAAGACAGCAGTAGGTCAAATTGCATACAAATCATAATATATTTATTTAAAAAATATTTATAAGGCATATTTATTGCAAAAACAAATGTATTTATCTATTTATACAAAAAAAATGTTTCATTATAAAACTTGTGATGTATTTATCATGTATCTTTTATATGGTTGGGTAATTCTTAGAGGGTGGGCTAATAAGAAAAAATAGGGACTAAAAAAGGAAAAAAATATGAATACATATTTGATTAATAAAGATTGAACAATTAAGTTAGCAAAATGAAGTTCAATACAAGAAAACCACAATGTTTTGGTGTCATAGCTATGCCATTGTCAAGTGACAGAATAACATAAATGTAAAGAGTTTAATTATATCTTTAAGATGTGATAAATGACAAAGATACATATTCAAAAGGGATACATATTCAAAAGGAAATCATTGAGGCCAGCTACAGGCCTGTACACACTTGGACCTTATAACTTAGTACRACAATGTTCTATGAAATCAAAGAGCTCCCTTGTAAGAAAAAACCCATTCACAAAAATGGTCCATCAACAAACATTTCCAGTTRTTTTTTCTTGCCAAAGTTTTTGGCACAGGACATTCCTGACCTTGTTTGCCTCTGCAGGTGAGTCCCTAACTTTCTGGCATTCTCTCATCTGCAGTAGCTGCCTGACTTCCTGGCAGTCTCTTCTACCTTGGGTTTGTGGATTGACAGTAATATCTAATTTCTTAGATAGACTATCCCCCTTCTCGATGCATACATTGTGCAAAACCATGCACGCGAGGGTAGTCGTTCTCAATTCCTCTCTACTGCTCTCGCATTTTCTCAATAATACACGCCATCGCCCTTTCAGTTGCCCATATGCTCCTTCTGTAACCATCCGGGCTCTGCTTAACCTATGTTATCATGATAATGATAAAATAAACTTTATTTTATGATGGATTTCATTGAATATTATTATGGTTGAGAYGGCCTTTATTTATAATAATCATTATAACCTTTAATTATTGATTGATTTATCATTTCTCTTGATGTTGAAACAAAATACAACAAATATCAATATCCCATGGTCCATTTCCAATGAGGGTGAGAGGTATAATTGTTGTCTTAGAAAAAACCTAGTAGCTGGTCCAAATAAAAAAGTCAAAACATGTTGAAATTCCTGTGAAATATTTATTTTTGGTTCTCAAAACTGGCACTTTTTGCTAACAGAGGTCTATTAATATAATAATAGACCCCTAATAATTCAGCCAATCAGAGGGCTGCATTGCAGTGATATAACATAAAATAAACATAAATATCCAACCCTTGGGAAAAAAGTAAATAGTTTTTTAGCCAATCAGAGCATATGTTAGAGTGAAGTTATATTCATATAAAATTAAAAACTGCATAGTACCTGTAATTGAAATACCTTTGCTGTGGTGTTAACGTTGCTTGGGTGTATGGTTTCATAAGCCAGGTACATAGAGGGAATGCCGAGTCACCAATAATGAGTGGAGGTATTTTAATCTCACTTTCTTTCTTGCCAATTTGGGGAATGTACTCTCCTGACTGAATCTTCTCCCATATATTAGTAGATTGAAATATCACTGCATCATGTGARTTGCCAGGAAATCCACAGGAGCCCCACACAAACCGATAGTTTGAGTCTACCATCCCCATCAGCACTATTGAATAAAAATTTTTGAAGTTGTGGTACTCTTTGCAGGACTCCAGGCCTCCTGGTGGGCACTTGATCGGGATGTGACAGCCATCAATTGCTGCCCAGCAACAGGGGAATTGCCACATTGTTTCCATGTCGATCATCTTTGTTTTAAAGTCTTCATCTGACTTCGGCATGTGCTTTGTTATACTTGAGTCCCACATTTCTTCTACGATCACCGCCGTAACTTCCTGTACTATGCTACAGACCGTCGAAACGCCCAAACCAACCATTTCTGCGATAGTATAGTAATAATCGCCTCTGCCAAGCCTATACAAACATATGGCGAGTCTCAACTCGGGGCTTACAGGGTCTTCTGCTTTCGTTTCTTTGACAAGGCGATGATGGATTTTTTTAAGAATGAATTGGAATGTCTCTCGAGAAACCCGGAATGTTTTTTTGAATCTTCTGTTGGTGTACTGAGTCCAAACCGTCTCCCACCACCCGGCATTTCTTGAGAGGCGGCGACACGATCTCGCAACGGTCCCCGAAGTGTAAACACCATTTTGTAAGGAAAGAAGCAACAGCATTACAGCGAAACTGACTATATGTCTTCTTCTGCTAACAAGTAACAGCATAGACTGCATGATATTTTGCCTTCTTGATGCCCTTGCATGTCGAATAGCACGGAGAAAAAGTAGTCTTTTTTTATCGTCCGCCATGTTTGTTTTGATTTGAATTGTTTCAATTTAACGTAACTCCGCTGGCTGATTTTACCGCTTACTCATGCTCAGAGTTTTTGGCTCAACACATTAGGTGCGACGTATGAATCAACGTCGATCCTATTGTAATTGTGTCGACCCAAATAGGATATTAGGTTCGGCACATGAAAAGCGCGACGTATGAATCGGGCCTAATTCAACGAAAAGACAGCAAATACCAGAAAAAAATGTCAACAGAGAAGTAAAAACATTTAAATTACATAATACGAGGGTTATTTTTTAGCTTCCGAAAGTTTCTTACCGTCTAATAGCGATGTTTTTCGTCCCTCTTCATATTCCTTCTCCATGTTTTTTTTTGCTCGTGACCCAAGGGGCTTATGGGACAATAGAATACCCACAATGCCCTGCGCAGCTATTTAAATCCCGCAACCAATGAAAACGCAAGATTTCTATAAAGTTATTTATCTTAATTAGATTATTTTTATTCCATATAGCTTTTTTCCTTCCATAGCACGAGTCATTAAAACCGCGAAATAGATATTATAGTAATAATACGCATTAGAGAGCATTCCACATCTATATTCGTGAAAAAGTCGATGAACAAAATTGTACAAATTAGTGCAGAGTTTCGTAGGTCTACATATCCACTGCAAAAAAAATGTCTGCCAACTTTGTCTTAAACTTGTGGTTCGTCGCTTCGTAATGATGAGTTTGGTGGTTAGAAACCAATTCTCATTAGCCTCGATTTAGTGTACGATTGCTTTGTGATACAACCAACTGGAAGGATAAAGAATAACAGAGCTTGGCTTGTGTTTAAGTGGTGTATTTTGAACAAAAGCTAAAACGCGGGCGTAGAGTGCATTTTACAGCCCCCCCCCCCCCC